CAACATAGGAAGATGCCATTGTTGACAACATTGACGAGGAATACGATCGACTGGTTCAGCACCTCCATGAATGTGCGAGGAACGCCAAGAGAGAGATAGCCACAAAAAGTCGCCTATCTTCGAAAACTCTTGAGCTAATTCGCCAGCGTGGTTTGGCGCATGCCTCAGGCAACCGCAAGCTAACGTCCGAGCTTGCAAAGCAGTGCAGAGATGCGATCAAGGAAGACCTCAAAGAGAGAAGAGCAGAAGTACTGGTAGATGCGGCAGAAGCCGGGAAAAGTATTCGTAGCGCCCGCCTGTCCTTCGCCAACTATAAGACCAAGATGACTGCCCTCCGACGTCCTGATGGATCCATCACATCCTCCAGAATGGCAATGGAGAAGATTATCCATGACTTCTACTCAAATCTCTTCGATAGCCATGTCCACTTGCCGACATACCAAATTCCACAGGATGGGTATGTCGTTCCTAACGTTCTCCCTTCCGAAATCTGACACTCCATTTCGTTGGTAAAGAAGCAAACAGCACCCGGCCCAGACAAGGTCAGACCTGAACACCTGAAGAACCTGCCGTCAGTACTCATCAATACACTGGCTCGGCTCTTCACTCGCTACCTGTCTGAATGCAAGGTTCCGTCCCAATGGAAAACCAGCAGGACCGTACTACTGTTCAAGAAGGGAGACATCCATGACATTGGCAACTATCGCCCGATCTGCCTATTGTCTGTCATCTACAAGCTGTTCACTCGAGTCATCCTGAATAGGATTGGCAGAACACTAGATGAAGGACAACCATGCGAGCAAGCAGGGTTCCGCAAAGGATTCAGCACCATCGACCATATCCACACGGTAACCAAGCTCATTGAGGTTTCTTGGGAGTTCAAGATGCCGCTCTGCTTAACGTTCATTGATTTAAAGAAGGCCTTTGATTCTGTTGAGACGGAAGCGGTCATTGAAGCCCTAGCCAATCAGGGCATTCAAGCCCAATACATCAGGATCCTCCGTGACCTGTATTGCGATTCACTACCAGGATCTCACCATTCTACAAAGAAGTGATCGTTGATGTCAAGAGAGGGGTGCGGCAGGGTGATACCATTTCACCGAAACTCTTCAGTGCCACCCTCGAGAACATCATGCGATGACTGGAATGGGAAGGAATGGGAGTGAAGATAGATGGTCGGCAACTACACCACCTCCGCTTTGCTGATGACATTGTTTTCATAACACCAAACATCAGCCAAGCGGCACAAATGCTGGCCAACTTTGACCGTGAGTGTGGAAAGGTAGGACTACAGCTGAATCTTACGAAGATAATGTTTATGAGAAACAGCCTTGTTCCTGATGCCCCATTCGCTCTCAATGGAACGACCATCTCCGAATGCAACAGCTATGTGTACCTAGGTCGAGAGGTCAACATGAGAAATGACCTGGCACCCGAGCTGCGCAGGAGGAAGAGAGCGGCTTGGAACGCCTTCAAGAACGTCGAAGAAATAGCTAAGAGGACGAAGAACCTCCGGCTCCGGGCACATCTCTTTGATTCCACTGTTCTTCCTGCATTAACATATGCCTCAGAGACCTGGGCCCTATGCAAACAAGATGAGAACGCCATTCAGGTCTCCCAAAGAAGAATAGAAAGAGCTATGCTTGGAATATCACGTTTCACTCAAATGAGAGAACGAATCCAGAGTTCTGACATCTGTCGACGATCAAGGATCAGGGAGGCTGTCTCATATGCCAAGGTGTCGAAAATCAGATGGGCTGGTCACGTAATGAGATTTAAAGACGACCGTTGGACTAGAGCTGTTACTGATTGGATTCCACGGGATGTCAAGAGACCGCGTGGCCGCCCACCTACCAGATGGTCAGACTTCTTTGTCAAGATCATGAACGATCGGTTTGAGGCCCTCCATGTTCCCGGAGCGAAGAGATGCCATTGGGCTACACTAGCACGCGACAGGGACAAATGGAGACGTTACTGGCGCCCGCTCGAGCAAATCGACGACTAACGGGAAGTTAAGTGATTAAGTGATTAAGTGTTATGAAGTATAATTGTATACTCTTTCACCAATGTATACGGAATGCACAATAATTTAGGTCAAAACAACTTGACCTAATAAAAATAAAAAAAAATGAGAGAGAGAACAAAACAGAATGCCCTGCCACAGAGGTAGGGTGGGGAGGAGGGGTGGGGGGTGGGAGGGATACTGGGATCATTGGTGGTGCAAAATGGGCACTGATGCAGGGATGGGTACTTGAATATTGTAAAATTGAAACTCAAGCACACAAATCTGTAAGTCTACAACTCTACCTCATGGTGTTTCACTAATAAAAATTTTAAAAAAAAGGAAAAAGAAAAAGAAAAATATTCAGCGCAGGGCCAGGCCACTGGAAAGGGCAATTAGGGGCTGTCAATATACTTTGTTCTAGGAATTTATCAGATTAAAGGAGGTTATCATGTTAAACTAATGAAACAGTTTAAGGGAAAAATCATGCTTAACTTTAGAGAGTAACTATCAACATCACCCCTATATCTCGAGCCTACTGGTACTAATCACTAGATGGAGAAGGACGTTTATTAACATATGATTAAAAGTAAATGGTTGTTGCCGCTAATAAAGAACCAAAAAATACAATTTGCAAAAGATTCAAACAGAGGACAGAGAGATATTTCAGGCATTAAGGCACTTACATAGAAAAATGGTCAACCCCAATTTTACACCACAAACTGCATAGAGTGGCCTTAGCAGCATCAGAAGTGATCCTTAAACACAGAACCAGGAGTCTGCCCTCATCTCTGCCAGGCATGTCCCTCATCCATAAAAAGGTAAAGAATTCTGTGAGGTGAACATGATTAATCTTCCTTCGCAGATTATTAATTCTGATCCATTACCCCTATGTTTGTGAAATATTGTCTCCAGATGAAAGAAAATGTATTGTGAAAAATAAATCAAAATTCTATTCTGAATGGTGAACACCTCACCACGGATAGTCATTTTTAAAGTATCAAGCGCTGTTTAACTTTGTAGTAATATTGTGATTATTGCTATTAGCATATGTTTCTGAAACTGTTTTCCCATGTGTATTGTGAATTATAAATTTCATTAAGATATAAGTTCGGATGATCATTTGTTTCTCTATCTTGCACTAAGCAAGCAATTGTTTAAAATATACTTTCAGTGTACTTTGATTCCTCATGACTATTATAAAAAAATCTCTTAAACAGGCTTTCTGTTTAAGCTTCCATCCAGTTGGTGAAACTAATTTAATAAAACCACTATATAGACTCTCCCCTTCAATAAGAAATTTTAAATTCTTCCACTACATTCTCAATTTCAGTCAGATCTGCCCATTTCTTACAAAATAAGTAAATATTCTTGAATTTAGATTTATACTCTTTTAAAAAATTATATTCTACTTCCCTCATCTGACTCCACTAACCTCCACTGCACAGCCCACTATTTTGTTAGAATATTAGATTTCTTTAACCATTATGGATCCTCAGATTTTTATGATCTGCTTCTTAATGGTTTGCAAAAGACTTTGATGTCTATAGTCATAACAGAGTTTTTTCTAGGAATAAATGATTTAATAAAGACTTTTATACTTATTTTAATGAATAAGTTTAATAAATTCAATGTTGCATTAAAAGTAAAGAAATGCAATTATGCCTCACATGAATTTCATTGATAAAAGGAACAACATGAAATGGATTATTCTAAAAGAACTCACAGAGATTCCACGTATGCAAAACCAAATTCCATTTGTTGTGTTGTTTGTCAACTATTTATCACTTTGGTAAGTAACTTGCTTTAATGGTCACCAACATTACCAATCCTTTATAGGATCCCACGTACCCATTTTCCTGGTCTAGTTCTCTTTTCCTGATGTTTGTTGTTGCTCTCTCAATATTCCTATACTAATTGTCAATTTGCTCTATGAAAAACAGACGAATTCTTTCACTGGATTTATAACCCAAATCTCTGTAGATATTTCTTTGGAGGTGCTTAGCCTATCCAGCTTTCTCTGATCACACCAGCACTATAGGGTTTTATCTGTGTTCTTTATGAATAAGGAAGTGTAAGATAATGTGACTGTATCTACTACTGTGGAGCCTTTTTCATGGAACCATGTAGATTCTCTTTACTTTTCATTAATGCTTTGGAAGTCCAGGGGTCATTGACTACATCATCTGTGGATTGAGGCTTTTTCTGATTGTTGTTGCCAATAGCAGATTTACTGCTGTGTTAAATTTCCTCCTTTGATGATATCTTTTGTACTTAACCTGTCCTCTGTAAGCTCAGATCTACAAGGGAGTCACAAAATTCCCTCCAATGACTTTCTTGGAAATACATATAGCATAGCAATTGGGTTTTTCTCTGCTCGTGCTCAGGAAAACCTATAATATAGAGATCAAAATCAGATCCCTGAATAACACACAAAATATGTATTAGCACTTTCCTTCTTCACACACATTCTACTTTAAGTATTCCTTTGCTGCACATATATTCTCTAAATCACAATGTATATATGCGTGAAAGCTTCATCCAAAATTTGAAGGTATTATTTGATTTCATTTATCAATCTTCCACAAGTAAGAAACAACTGTTGATATATGCTTTTCGAAATTCTATTTTTTAAATAAATTTACCCTTAAAATTAATTTTTTGCATCATTGTAAAATATATATATGTATCACCTTAGCATTGCACATATGTATTGCATTCTATTAATTATACCAAATTTGTTATTTTTAAATATACCTTTTTCGTGTAGGTGACCCAAACATAGAGACATTGTTCATACATCAAAAAAAATATGTTTCCAATCGCTTATGAAGTGCAAAAATTAGGGTTTCTTTACTTACTACCATGAAGCTAGAGTCATATCTTTCATCTCAGTAAAATAGTAAATAAAACAAATATCTTTTAGGTAATTTATTCACATCATTTTTCCCCTTAGGAATTTAATTATCCAATAAACTCTTTCAAATTTATTCTGTGTTTATTTTGGAAGAAATGATTGACACCAAACTTTTCTCAGTGTATTTTTCATCTCTGTGTTTCTCAGAGTGTAGATAAGCGGGTTGAACATTGGAGCAATGATGGTGTAAAATAGCGCCAATATTTTGTCCTCAGGGAAAGTGGTAGGAGGTCTAAGGTAGACAAAGATTACAGGTCCAAAAAATAAGATGACCACAGTGATATGAGACCAACAGGTGGAAAGTGCTTTGCGTTTTCCCTCAGCTGACTGATGTCTTAAACTGAATAATATAATTCCATAAGAAAGAAATAAAACAACAAAGGTCCCTAAGGAGAGTATGCCAGAAAAGGTAATTATGAGGATGCCGCTGATGTAGGTGTCAGTGCAGGCAACCTTAAGCAAAGGAAAAATATCACAAAAATAGTGATCAACTTCATTTGGACCACAGAAGGGCAAACTGATGGCTATAGTGAAAAGAGGAAAGGCATGGATAAACCCACCAATCCAGGCAGCTAGAACGAGGAGATGGCATCTTGTTCTGTTCATGATAATCATGTAGTGAAGGGGTTTGCAGATGGCAACATAGCGATCATAAGCCATGACAGTGAGAATGAAGATCTCAACACCCCCAAAGAAGTGCATGGTAAAGACCTGTAATATGCAGTTGCTGTAGGAAATAGTCTTTTTTTGCACTAGAAGATCACCAATAAATTTCGGCGTAACAGTGGAGGTATAGCATATGTCCATGGATGACAAGTGAATGAGGAAGTAGTACATTGGTTGATTTAACAAAGGGCTGCACTGGACAGAGATAAGAATCAGCAAGTTTCCTCCTAACAGGGCAACATAGCAGAGCAAAAATAACGCAAAACAAAATATTTCTATTTTGTGGCCAAAGGAAAGTCCTAGAAGAACAAATTCAGAGACATTTCTGTAGTTTTCCATTTTCCATCAAAGAATATCATGAGATGTGTTATAGATCTAAAAGAAACAAGACATAACAGATTAAAATTCAAATGTAAACCTCCATAAATAATATAAAACTGATCAAACAAATGGTATGTTTCATTGAATAAAATCATGATACAAACTTTAAATTAATATTATTTATATTTTTTTGGAATTTATACCAATTTAAAGTAATAATTTTGTGGCAATTTAAAAATAAATGATTATTTTTTGATATAATTGCTATAATTTTAAAATATTTTTATTTGAATATAATATTTTCCTTAACAATTATGTTAAGCCCAAGTAACCAAAAGCAAGAAACTATTTTTTCAGTTTTAATAGCTGTAGCTTATAAATGGGCTGGAGGGATAGCACAGAGGTAGGGCTTTTGCCTTGCACATAGCCAACATGGCCGACCTGAGTTCAATTCCTCCACCACTCTTGGATTGCCTGGCAAGCTACTGAGAGTGTCTTGCCTGCGCGGCAAATCCTGGCAAGCTGCCTGTGATGTATTTGATATGCCAAACACAGTAACATGGAGATGTTACTGGGCCCGCTCGAGCAAATTGATGAACAACGGGAGGACAGTGACAGTGACAGCTTATAAATAAGATAATTTCCTCTTATGTGATAATTATCAAAGCAAATTTACAAAGTTGTCCAAAAACTGTCATCAGTTTTGGGGTCAGAGCCATGGGACATTGGGCAAGGTTCTTGCTATCAATGTGACAGACCTAGGTTGGCTCTCCACACACATAAGGTTCATCAAGCCCTCCAGAAGTGATCTCTGAGTGCAATGCCAAAAGTAAGTCCTCAGTGCCAAAAGTAAGTCCTAAGCATCATGGAGTATTACACTCCTACAAAAAAAAAAAAAAGGAAAGGAAAGTTAACAATTATAGGGCAATATAAAGAATGCGAATAAAGAGTAAAGCTCTAAAAAAAGATCAGAAAATATATTCATTGTTCATAGTTCTTTTTTATACTTCATGTTTCAAGGGCAATTGAGAATATATGTGCATGTTACAATAAATATGAGATCCCTAAGTTCCCTTTGTGCATTTGGACAATTATATGGATTTGCAAAAATTTCATATTTTGCAAAAAGCTAAAGAACAAAATGTGAATACAAGCAAAAATCACAGAAGGAAACTTTTAGTTTTACAATAGTGACTAGCATTAGTTGTTGGAAATTTTAATAAATTAGAAAAAGAGAACATTAATCCTTTATATGTAGTAAATATCTTAAAACATTAATCAATGTAGAATAGGTGCAGGATTGAAAAGAAACTTCCAAGAGTCATTTTAATAACTGATGACATTCCACTGAGTCACAAAAATTAGCTCAATTTTCATCTTAGTTGGGTTGTGATGCGAGTTACATCTAAAAGATTATATCTAGTTTTGTATATATACTATGAATATTATACATACATATTATAAATATATTTCCTGTAAAAATATTATTTTTAACATATTAAATGGTGTTTTACAAATAATTTATGAAACAAATAATTACTTATAATTTTTTATGAATTTTGAAGGAAATACTTGCCAGAGCACTTAAAAGTATTCATAATGATTTCTATTATTATATTTTAAAGTATAATTCTAAATTTAAAGTCAACTACATGAACACATTTTACTTATTGCTACATTTATTATTTTCAGTCCCCCTGGGTCTGCTTCCATCGGTTCTGCAGTTCCCAGTACCTAAAGTGGACAGAGTGCAATCAGAGAGAGATAGGAGTCTATATATATATATATATATATATATATATATATATATATATATATATAGCACAGTGGGTAGGGAGTTTACCTTGCAGGAGGCCAACCCGGGTTTGATTCCGCCGTCCCTCTCGGAGAGACCAGCAAGCTACAGAGAGTATCTCGCCCTCTCAGCAAAGCCTGGCAAGCTGCCCGTGATGTATTCGATATGCCAAAAACAGTAACAAGTCTCACAATGGAGAGTCACTGGTGCCCTCTCAGTGAATTGATGAACAACAAGACACAGTGCCTCAGTGCTACAATGCTACTTAGTGCAACTGATACTGATACTTTGTTTATGGTGTATGATTCATGTGATTTTTAAGATATGCTGGAGTGATAGCACAGCAGGTAGGGCGTTTTCCTTGCATGTGCCCAACTTAGCTGACCCAGGTTCAATTCCTCCGCCCCTTTTGGAGAGTCCGGCAAGCTACAGAGAGTGTCTCACCCACGCAGCAAAGCCTGGCAAGCTACCCGTGACATATTCAATATGCCAAACACAGTAACAAGTGTCACAGTGGAGATGTTACTGGGCCCTCTCAAGCAAATCGATGAACAAGGGGGGACAGTAACAGTGACATTTAAAAATATAACAGGGCTATTAAACAGATTGTAAACTACCTGGAGACAAAAAACACTGTTGTACATATTATCTAGTAAGTAGAATATACTCAGTTAAAGAGAATTGAAGTAGCTTCTTAGTTGAAAAAATCATACCTAAAGGGAGGCTAGCCTTCTTCCTGAATCCCTGTTCATTTGAGGTACCTTTTCATTCATAAAAACTGAAGATACAAGGGACAACCACTAATTAGGCCTTTAAAATCTCAGATATTTGTATTAATTTTCCTGAAGATTAACAAAAAACTAATTTGATGATATGAGGATTCTTGTTTTCTAGATAATCTTTGGCATTTAATCTATAATGGCTATTAAACATTCACTTTCTTTTACCAAAGAGAATGCTAGATGACATGGGTGTTTATAACAAACAAACAAAAAACAAGAAAAGAAAAGGTGATTTGAGAGAAATTTGATCATGAAAAATCATAGTGACATTAAGAAACCTTGAGTTTCCAAATGAGTTAATTTTCTTTCATGATCTTTCCACCCTTTATATGCCTAGCTTACTTACTATAAACATACACACATGTACATCTGAGTAAGTTGAAAGAAATTTGAAACAAGTAATAACATGAACTTAGAAACTTTGTTCAAATAAATTTTATCTTCAGCAATCTATAAGTGAATCCTTCTCTATTATAAATTAATCCTATCATTACAAACTGTTTTTTTTCTGAAGATTTTATATTCAAAGAGCTACATTATTTCATGACCAGTAATAAATAAAATTTTTGTGTTTCTTTGAGTATACTGCCTACAAATAAATAGCAAATACTATACTTAATCAAGAATTGACACTGTATATTAATTTTCCCATAACATAGCGTGATTTGAACACACCATAGTTGATACAAATAAAACTATTTTAGGATGATCAGTGTTTTGAAATATGGGAATATCTTTGTAGATGTTTAAGCATCAACAATTTTATTAAAATAATAATAGTGGAGTGCAGCTAAACATGAGTTGGAGATAAAATTTATAGCAAATGAGAAAATAGTTTAACTATTTTTTAAATAGAGTTGTACATGAATAATTATAATAAAAATTGAATCATGATAAATTATTTTGTAGTAAAACCTTGTTTTTATATTAAATATTATACCTATTATAAAATTATATAGAATAACATATAATCAGCCTAGAACATCTGTAGTGAGACCATTCACAAATCAAGGAAATGACTTACCATCAGATTTAGCTTACTTAGGCTGCACGAGAACCCAATTCTGTCATATCGTCAGACAATAAACTCTTAGTAATTTCCCTTCAATGCCAAATGCAGACAAAAACAGAGAATAATAAACTAATATTCCAGCAACATTCTGAATAATTATTTGAGAGATCTTGGAAATCTTAACCTATCTTCAAACTTCTGCAAGTTTTCAAAGAATGAGATTCCAACTTCTCCCAAATTACTGTTGATACAAAAGTGTATCTTTTTCGAGTTCAAGACTGCAGTTTAAAAATTGTGACTGCATGGTAGTGCCTTAAGATGAATGCAGATGAAAAAAAGTAATCTAAATGAAAGTCTGAATTTCTCTGGACAAGTTAAGTCCTAGGAATCTTCTGTTTATGCTTATCTGAGCAAATTTGGTTCCAAAGAACAGAATATAAACTCAGTGAGAGCAAAAATAAATTAATAAGACTTTGTAAACTCAGTAATTGTACCCAAAGGCATTTCTAAACACTCCAGGCGAAATGTTGTTAAACCACTGTCATGGTGATCTTCATGGCTATTTTGGCCCATTGCATTATTCATGCCTCAGGGACTCCTTGGAAATCTAACAAATTTATTTAGTCTCTGTGTTGAAGAAACTCTGAACTGTGCTATACAACTTTGTGGATGTAGATATGGATTTCATTACAGATGTAGTTTATAATAACATCAGGTAGGAGTTTAAAAAATGACATACAATAAGACGAATGGAATCAAATATGGATAATAATAATTCAGTGAGATGAACCACTCTGATGATTCTCATGTGGTAGAACAGAGACATCAATAAAATTAGTTTCATGGAGATAAAATTTGTACAAGTTTTCTTGTAGTATGGACTAACATTTTCAGAATAGATGTTGAGGAAAGAAATTCAAATAAAAGAAAAGATAAATAATATTCATGTGCTTTATTCCTTTATAAATTTGTGTAAATTTATAAAGGAATATTATAGAAAAATTAGAGAAGAATCACTCAAAATTCACAGATTTCATTGTTTCAATTTTGAATGTATTTTTATATCATTGAATAGTCAGAATTGTCCAAATTCAACCTCAAATATACACACAGAAAGTTAATTTGTCTTTCAACCATCCACAAATCCATATGAAATTTTCTGCTTGAAACGCTTAAACCATCAAGATCATTGTATAACTGAAACCCAAGCACAAAAATTTGTAAATCTATAACTGTACCACCTGGTGTTTCACTAATAAAAATTTTTTTAAAAAAGGGCTGATCAGATATCAGTATCCACTATAAAATGATTTAAAATAAAACCATGATTTCAAAAAAAAAAAAAAAGAATGCAAATCAAAGCCGGAAAGTAGATCAGGGTGGCCCCTGGCAATGAGTTCTTGGGATTTATTTCTTCCTTGGAATTTAA